GACTGGCACGCAACAAAACGTGCCTTTGATTGATCGTGCCCTTTTTCGCAACAGACAGCATGATTGGGAGAGTCTTCTCAGAGAGCCTCAACTGCGCATTGACCTGCAGACTCATTGCAGCCTGTGTCACATGTGGGTAGCTAGCTTCACTCACATAAAACAGCACATTGTTAAGATTCATGAAGGTGAGACACCAGGTCTACATGCTAGAGCGTTAACTTTGTGCCACAGCTTCAAAAGCCAACTGGTTCGAAACCGGACCTGTCCCTGGTGCAAGAGAAATGTGGGAGCCCCAGGGCGTCACTCCCAACAATGTGTTGTGCTTTACCAACTGTGCATAGCACGAATCCGCTACCAATGGTCCCAGGACCGATGCAGCGGGACTGAATCCGGAGGCGGACATCTTCGCCTTTTGCGATCCTTCACTGCTGCAGCGAGCCGCAGCGGAGACCTTGCAGGAAGAACTGTCGGAGCCCTCGGAGATGAGTCAACCCCCCAAACGCCCTCGACCCGAGCCCAGTCCACTGTTTGGTCAGCGTGGCAAGCAGCAGCCTCATCGCCAGGCGCCATTTGCTCCGAGGGGCCCCCGTTGGCCGAAACAGCAGCCACCAATGGACCCGCAGAGTCGAGCAATGGCCAAGCTCATGCTGCAGCACGAGGAGATGCTTGCAGCCCAACGGGTGGACAAAGTGTTCATCATGTTTATGAGGCAGGACTATGCCAGCATCATCCCGAACCTGCATTCCATCTCCGAGCAATGGCACAAGCGGCGCCAGGACAACAGCTCCACATCGGAGCTTCAATCCCCGCTGAGAACATTGCTGATGGCGTGCTTGATCAAGGAGATCCTGGCCAGGATTCAGAAAATGGCCTCCACCAGCGAAGGCCAGGGCAAGTTGAAGGCAGCAGGATGGATGAACGAGACGGGGGGCTGGACATTCCTGCGCTACTGTCACCGAAGCAAGAAAATGGTCCTAGATGCAAGCCGCGAAAGCATGAGTCATCAAGAAATTGTGCGCCAATACACATTTCTGTTGGAGCACATGAAGGGAGAGATAGTGCAGAAGTTCAACAGTACGCAGTCACTGAAAAGCCTGGAAGCGAACGCGAGCTCCAAACCCCCAGCCACTTTCGTCCTCGAAATTTCCCTACGGGGAGAGAAAGCCAACGAGATGCACGAGACAATGTGCACGTTGATTGGAAGCTCGGCCTGGCAGCTTGTGGGCATCTCCCTGAAACGGGGAACACTCAAGAAGTCTCCCCTAGCGGAGCAGTTGGCTCAGTGGGTGTACGGCCACTGACAAGTGTGGCTCATGCTGCAACAGTGCGTCCGCGCCCCAATGTGTGCAGCCTTCCAAACTTCAGCTTGCATAATCCTGGCAACCATTGCTATGCCATTGCATTTCTCTATGCCCTAGATGCAGCTGTGCAGTTTGTTGGCCTTCATGCCCAAATGCCAAATGTGTTTCAGCGACTACAAGGTCAGCAAAGGGGCAGAGCCTTCGGGCTCCTGGGGTTCACAACTTTAGGGTGGCAAGCGCCTGAGCGCCAGCATGACACATGCGAGTTCATTGACTTCGTTCACTCGAGACTCCTGCCAAGGTCTCTCCAAGGGGTATGGCAGGGACGCAGACAGGTGCCAGAACAGCCCATTGCCTGCACAGAGCCTTCCCCCCTCTCCAAATGCATAGGGTTGTTAGCGCCCCCAAAGCATAGCCCCAACATCCAAGATCTTGTAAACCACTGGTCGGCCCAGGAACATAGACAGGCGATGGTGCAACCAATGCCTTGGCTTTTCCTGCAACTTCCACGCTTTCACAGCAGGAAAGGCAGGATACGCAAAACAGCACAGTGGTATGACATTCCCCGCGAGTTGGAAGTGCCGCTTTTCCTTGCAGATCAGGCAATAGGCGTAAGGTGGCTACCCTACAAAACAGTAGCTGTCATTCGTCATCATGGCAATGTACCTTCAGCAGGTCACTACACTGTAGCGCTGCCGAGTGAAGAAGGCTTCACAGCACTTGATGATGCACAGCCGCCAAAAGTCCTTGATTCGGAAAGTGTTCTGCAGATTAGCCGGGATATGTATGTTCTTGTCATTGCCCGTGTGTGTGAAAGCACCGACTTTTCACATGATCGTGCAAGTGCATTGGGCCCAGCCACGACCACTGGAGTAGAGGCCTCACCGCCAGGGTCCAGCAGTGCTCCAAGTGCTCATGGCTCGAGTTTGGCTGAGATACATAGATATGCGCGAAGAGGCATAGGTGGCGAGCCACATGAATCTCCAGAAGATCCTCTTGCGTCAGCTCATGCAGGACCTCCGCATCTTGCAGCAGAGACACGGCACCTTGTGATACCAGATCAAGCGACTGATCTGCGACCAGAAAGCGTACTACTACCGTCAGAGCCAGAAGTCAGCTCGCAACCAGTACGCTCGGGTCCTGCCTCGCATCATCAATCTGGAAACCGTGGACTGATTCACGGACAAGCCAATTCTGTCACTGCGCAGGATATAAGGAGGTTCTTCGCAAGGGCAGCGAGCCCTTAGCAGATGCAAGCCTGGGAGATGACTGAACGATGAGTTTTTATTTGAGTACAAACAGGGACCCCGCTTCAATAGCAAGCGGCTTTTCTCTAAGAGCATACGTGCTAAGCCGTGAAATCGGCCGGTGTGCAAGGTGAACCACACTGTAGCGCACGCTAGCTGAGGGACGACTCTCACTGCGAAGGAAGAAGATGATGATGATGATGACGATGTAAAGCCCTATTCCTGGGCACCACTAGCTTCATGTGGTTGGGGAAGGTTGCAGTGAAACAAGCCCAGGAAAGTGTCGCTAGCAAGCTGGGACCCCCAATGCTCCCAACTAAGGAATAAACACTTAAGTTTTAGATATTATCCCAACCATGAACTAGGTTGGTTAGTTTCCAAAGTTAATGGCAGTTCCTGGACGTCATTAGAAATTCCCCGCCCAAGAGGGAAAATGTTTAAACGAAATAGATGAAGCATAATTTATAAGCCCAACATCCCCAAAAGGACACCGGATGATGCCGCTATTTGGAACCGTAATGTAAACCCTGTTTCACACATATATATATATATATGTACATGTATATGTATATATATATATATACTTATATATGTATATATATATATATATCTTGAGCTGCCGTAGCTGCATCTTTGGGAAGGGTTTGGGTAAGTCAAGGTTTCCGGCCGTGACCCGGACGGGTTGGTTCGCCACCGTGGCCGGAAGCGGTTAGACCACACCTCCGCGGAATGGAACAAAAAGACGCAGCCGGGGCCTGCTGCGTCAATTCAACGGTTTAGGGTTTAGGGTTTAGGGTCTAGGGTTGAGAGTTTAGCAAAAAGGGTTTAGGGTTTAGGGTTTGGGGTTTCAATTTAAACTCTATGGCCCTTTGAGCCCAGGATCTTTAAGATGGCAAAGCTCCTGTGAGCCAAATACGCGAGTTGCTTTGGAGGGCTCCTTGTTCAACTCCCCGGTTCTGGTGCCCCAGCCCAGAAGGCCTTAGCAAGGAGGCCGCACTCCGACCCAGCCGGTTGCAACACTGCTGCGTGGTCTTGCCGCATGCACCAGCCAGTAGACCACAAAGTTTGGACCCAGAAAACCCTAAACTAAACCCTAAACCCTAAACCCTAAACACAAAGCCCCTAAACCCTACACCGTAGCGAAGGTCAGCATCGGAACCTCGGAGCCCCGAGACACAGGACCAAGTCAGCCAAGTGGATCTTCAGAGGGCCCAATACCATCGAGTCTAAGCCCTAAACCCTAAACCCTAAACCCTAAACCCTAAACCCTAAACCCATCAGCCTTAACCTGTAACTGCAGGGACGCTTACAACATATTGCGGGGCGCATCTCTTACTTCCCTCCAAGTGGGGCTCCCTGGGTCACTTGGCCATGCCAGCCTCCATGGAGCGTTTGGGACACCTGGCTGCCGATTTTGGGAGCCCTAAACCCTAAACCCTAAACCCTAATTAAACCCTAAACCCTAAACCCTAAACCCTAAACCCTAAACCCTAAACCCTAAACCCTACTTCCTAAACCCTAAACCCTAAATTTCTAAATCCTAAACCCTAAACCCTAAACCTCAGATCCCAGACAGAACCCCCAGACAGCTGCCCCGGAACTCGAAGTGGAGCCTTATATGTGACAAATGGGTTCCCCACTACTCCCCTTTATACTACCCCCTAGGTTCCCCCCCCATAGGGTTTAGGGTTTAGGGTTTAGGGTTTAGGGAGTAGGGAAACCCGTGAGGCGAGTGTAAACCCTCTGGCCCTTGAGCCCTCGGGCCGTAAACCGCAAAACCTATAGTGATAAGCAAGCCTCAAGGCGTTTAGGGTTCAGGGTTTAGGGTTTAGGATTTAGGGATACGCTTTAAGCCCTAGAACTCTAGCCCTTCTAAACCCTGCAACCCTAGTCCTAGGAGCTTCCCACTCCCGGCCTGGACCATACTCCAAGAGTAGAGATTTGTTTTGTGTTATTAATATTTTTTGTTTTGTGTTTTTTGTTTTGTGGGGGGGGGGGGGCGCAGGGTTTAGGGCTTAGGGCTACTAGGGGCCGACCAGGAAGCCACCCAACAAATGGAAGCAATAACATTAGCCACAACTCAGGTCATCGCGCTCGCATCGGCCGGCCCCTTCCATGGAGCAAGGCTGAAGCGTCGGGGGACACTGCTGTTTGTCTCCGACACGGGTTCCCTAAACCCTAAACCCCAAACCCCAAACCCTAAACCCTAAACCCTCGTGCGTCTAGGGTTGCGTTGTGAGTCAGGACGCCTCAGGCCCAGCAGAGAGATTCAGATGGACATGAAGATCATCGCAATCAGCTGGGATGTTCCCCTGTTTCTAACAGTCCTTAATAGGGATTATAGTACCCTCAGGTCTGTTAGTATCAGGGGAACAGCCCAAGCAATCAGCTTTGAAACCGAAAGAACTCATAGACACAGCAGTTGTAGCAGCCACCGTCGCCGGTAGTTCCCATGGAAGCAGGGGACATCTGCATCCGGACAGTTGCTGGTGCAGACGACGTGGGGCTCGAAGTATTCCGTGGATTGAAGCGTCGGAAGCTTCCACCAGACATTATCCTCACTGAAGGCCTTCCCTTTTCGGTCGAATAATGTCAAGCCTGCTCATGTAGGGGTTTAGGGTTTAGGGTTTAGGGTTTAGGGTTCAGGATATCCAGCCTTTGCCATCCTGGCCTCATGTTGGAAGGAGGCCCCCTATACTGTAGGTAGCGCTAAACCCCGAAGCCTGTTGTATCAAATCCGTGGGCACCTAACCCGGCACCACGCTCAGCCACTAAACCCTAAACCCGAAGCTACGAAGCCCTAAGCCCTTGTAAAACCCAAATTCTACGGAAGCCCTACCCTAAGGATCCATGTACCTATATTCTCTTGGCTCTGAAGCTACTACATAGGTCCTAGGTAGGATAAAGGGGACCCTTAAAAGGGAGCCCTTCTGAACCCTCTTGTGGCTCTCTTAAAGAGGGACCTTATTGAGAGGGTCTATATACCCAAGGGTCCCCCTAATCCTATCCCCTAGTAGGAACTTCTATCAAGCCCAAGTCGAGACCAGTCGATATTCTGTAGGTACATGGATCTTCAGAGTAAATGAAGTATAGGGTTCTTAAGAGAGGGGGGTTCATGCGGGGTAGGTACCTAGGGAACCTTAGGGTAAGCTTGGGGAGCAGTGGGGAGTATCAGGGAGCCTTGAAACCTCTAAACCCTAAACCCTAAACCCTAAACCCTAAACCCTAAACCCTAAACCCTCCCTTCGGAACCCTATACATGAAGCAAGGCTATGACGCAATCCTTCGGCTCTTAACGAGCGGGTTCTCCTGCAGAGATGTGCTGCTTCAGCCTCACATGGAGTCCCTTGGGGACCAAATGAACCTTAATCCTTAAGCCCTAAGCCCTAAACCCTAAACCCTAAACCTTTTAGTGGGGATTCTAGTAATAAGGGTATATGACCCCAATTTTTAGGCTTCATTTGGTCCCCCAAGGTCGGAGGTCTGCCACATTCTCCGGACGCGCCCGTCACTCACCGGGCGCAGCGGGCCAACTACTATCCTGCTTCTGAGGTTGTGTTAATATATGTATTGCGCATTATTTTTATTGAGTTATAGATACGATTGTATGAAGCCCCCACCCCCCCCACCCCCCCCCACCCGCCCTAAAACCCAAACCCTAAACCCTAAACCCTAAACCCTAAACCCTAAACCCTAAACCCTAAACCCACCCAGGATTTGCAGCATAGAGGTCATCGAGGAGGTGACGGAGATCTCTCTGGAAATGGGCCGGCCCCAGCTCGCTTTCGCACTGGCCTGCCGGCGAGATCCCCCCACCCTGCATGCCGAGTTCCCAGGACTTTAGGGGTTTTTAAGGTTTAGGGTTTAGGGTCCTTCTCAATGCGGTTTAGGGTTTCGGGCTTCATCGGTTTGGGGTTCAGGGTTGGCATAGTCATTTGCCGGATTTGCTTCTGCACTTTCGAACCTAGTAGTAGAGTAGGTAACCTTTAACCTTTTTGGGGTAGTATAATCCCCTTAGAATCCCAAAGGTTAACCCTCAATTCCCCCAAAGCATCTCTTGAAAATTCCATTTCCCAAAGACCCAGACTTCCGCGAAGGACTCACAGGGAGCCCTGCCGCACCCTTGCGGTTGGTGGTTTCCTTGGCCTGCTTGGGAAAAGTCTTTGAGGGTTTAGGGTTTAGGGTTTAGGGTTTAGGGTTTAGGGTATTTTTTGGGGTACTACGATTCCTAGGAAATAGCTAGAATTTTGGTTTTTGCTAGGGTTCCGAGTTCAGTACAGGTTTTAGATGGGCTCACGGATGCCGTGAACGTCGGCACTCTTTTCACGGTGGCGGCTGCGTTCGGCCTCTCCGGGGTGCTCTGCTCGCGGAGCTGTTGCCAGGCCTTGAATCACGATGTACCAAGACCCCTAAACCCTAAACCCTAAACCCTAAACCCTAAACCATCCCAAGCATCCTGAGCTCCCCTTCCCTGCAGATAAGACCCCCGTAGCAAGCTGAAACTAAACCTGCGCGGTGCACGCCGCCGAGCTCCCACTAAACCCCGACCCGAGACCCTCTCCGCCCCCCCACAAAGCATCACAAAGCACACGCACACAGAGATAAATAGTTAAATCAAAAGATAAATATAAAAATGAATATAAGTATAAATATAAGTATAAATATAAATATAAATATAAATATTTATTTATGTATGTATTTATTTATTTGCTTCTTATATATATATATATACATTTATTCATTTATATTTATATTTATATTTGTATCTATATGTACATGTATGTGCATATGTGTATATATATATACATACACGCAAGCAATACAAACACACATCAGCAGAAGAATAATCGCAAACAACATCATTTCTGGGATTCGAGTTTAAAAGGGCCTTTTTTCTGGCCAGCCTTCCTGCTGTTTGCATGCGAGTTGTGAGAGTCGATGTTTGCAGCCATCACCAATGGCAAGCCCCCAAGAGCAACTCAAAACCCTTCTATCATGGTTTATGACAGTATATGAGACCCTTGCAGACTGTCTTAGAGCACACGCTCCCAACAACCCTTGTGCATAGCAAGGCTGCGATCCTTTCTGTGCACGGGCGGTTCGCACCTCTGGGGGGCTGGTCTTCCAGCTGCCTTGCTTTCAGGGGAGCCTCCCGGAGGCACGGAAAGCAAAACACAAAAACGAAAACCCCAAACCCTAAACTGCAAACCCTAAACACTAAACCCTAAACCAGAAGCAGCATTGATGGTAGGATTTAGTGTTGCAGCTACAGCCCTGGTTATCGTTGATCATGGGGTTTAGGCCTAGTGGTTCCAAGCAAAGGAATGGCTCAGGGTCTAATGAACAACAAGACAAGAGCTTCAGATCCCTAGACCTAAACCCTAAACCCTAAACCCTAAACTTCGGGGGGGGGGGGGGGGGGGGGGGGCTAGGATCCCTGAGCCCTTTCCGCTCGAAAGCCTATACTTGGAGCATCGTGGTACTTACTAGCAAGGTTATAGCTGTACTTTACCCCACGTGTAGGCCCCTTACGTGCCCTAATATGGTTATCGCTGAGTGATAGCACACTTATATATTTGTAGTTGGACTGATAAGTACCATGAGCCCCCAAGCAGACCCTAATCTTGGGGCATCTCGGCGCAAGACCTTATCAGGGTTTATCGGGTTTAGGATATCAGGTTTAGGGCCCCGGAAGGAGAAACAAAAGCGGACGTACAGGATTTATGGGGGTTAGGGCGGGCACCTATGTAGTGCCTTATGAGGGCAGTAGACATAGAATCCCCTATACCTATTTCCAAGAATAAGGACGCTGCTGTAGAGACTTCAGGGAAGTATATAACTACACCAATAAGGAACTACATTGGAGCCTTTGGGTAAACCCTATAGGCCCCTAAACCCTAAACCCTAAACCCTAAACCCAGAGGGTACCAGGCTCTCCGTCATCTCCGTGCCGGGGGCGTGCTGACCCTGGCTGCGGTGGTTCAGGATGGTGCGGTCTACTTTGATGAGGCATCCCTCTCCAGGTTTAGGGTTTAGGGTTTCGGGTTTATGGTTTAGGGTTTAGGGTTTAGGGTTTATACAACACCTACCTGAAGAACCCAAAGCTCTCTTTGTTGTAGGTTCTCACGTCTTAGTATTCATCCCTTGGGCTTTTGCCCCCTTCTCTGACAGCCCTTACTAGGGGTCATGGTACCCCCTAGAGCATAAGGGGGAGACATCCCAACATATCCTCCTCATAGTATTTTTGGGAAGTTCTTAAGGGAGGGGAACCCTAAACCCTAAACCAGGAAAGCAGGTACCCAGGAACCTTAGGAGTAGTGGGGAGTATTAGGGGCCGCCCCCCCTAAGAACCCCATAATACTAAAAAGGAAGGTAGGTTTGGGGTTCATAAGGTCGACCTCTGATTGTGGTTCCAGTCTTGGGGGGGGGGGGGGGGGCCTTGTTTGTGACAAAGTCGGGCAAATTTAGGGTTTGGGGTTTGGGGTTTAGGGTTTAGGGTTTAGGGAACTGCCCTAAAGAAGGAACTGCTTGTGAAGGTCTAGGAGGGTTATCTTGCCTTCTGCAGTACCCAGAGAGCCCAACAAAAGAAATAGACCTTCATGTTAGGGATCCTTAATATGACCCTAAACCCTAAACCCTAAACCCGTTAAGGGGCAGTGAGCTCTTTGGGTACACCAATCGGTTGATGGATTGCCGTCGCCCGTGGCGCAGGGGGGAGCTTTTGCACTGGCTTTGCGTTCTCAAGCTCTATGGGCCCATGTTGCCATAATAGGGCAGTTTAGGGTTTAGGATTTAGGGTTTAGGGTTATAGGGTTGTAGGGTTGTAGGGTTATAGGGTTATAGGGTTATAGGTTTTAGGGTATTATTGGGTTCACGAAAGTAAGGCCCCCTAACATGAACCCCCAAACCCCAAAAATGGTACCCGTAATTTCGGAAATCACCATATGGCCTCTACTCGGGCCCACTTCGAGGGTTCCTGTAGAGGGTCCTTGTAGGCCACAGTGTACATAAACCCTAAACCCTAAAACCTAAGGTGCACGAACTGCCGCGGCGATGGGCATTGGTCCTTGGTTCTGAGCACTTCGGCGTGGATGCAGCGGTCCGTGAAGCGTGCGACAAGTTGGTGAAAATCCGGATGGCAAGTGGAGTGGACTCCCTGAACGCAACCCAGTTGCGGTCAGGCTTGAGGGTTTAGGGTTTAATTTGCATGTTGCAAAGGCTTGGCCTGTTTGAGGGCAAGCTTGTATAAACTTGGGCCCTAAAGGGGTAGCTTGAGGTCCCAAGTATATAGCTATATAGGCACACGCATCCTTAGGGAACCTTGTATCCTCAAGACAATATGGTGCATTGCAGCTGCCCCGTGCAACTTGCTCCAGGTGGTCACTTCGGGAGGGGTTCTTGTGCACGGATGTGTGGAGCGGGAAGCAAGAGAACCTTGGTTGCCCAATTGTACCCTCTGCCTTTTTCATGCTTCAAGGTTCCCTTTTAAAGTAACCAACCCACAAATGGGTGCCCTTCTGCTGATGGTTTCTGGCCACCAAGGAATAGCCTGCAACACTTAAGCTTCCTTCACCCGCTGTGGGGCCCGGACGCGGCCAGCGCTCCCCTGCACACGCCTTAGCTTCTGCTTCCAGAACCAACGGCACATGAGGCCACACGCTGAAGGGCTGCGTGCGAGTCGGGAGGTCTTCGTGTTGTACCTGCGCACATACTGAAAGTTGGATGTCGAACATCAAATGTGGAGAATGTCGGAAGAGTCGGCTGATGGGGCGCTCCAGAGCAAGAACCTCGGGTTGAGCATAGCCGTCATTCTCAGAATCTCAACGCATTGCCCTCCCTGTTCCTGCACTTGCGGTGCAAGCAGGCTGCTTGAGAACATTGTACTGCTATGTGCTTGCAGTCCACAAGAGATCCACAGCCTCTTGCGGCAAAGTCCAAAAGGTCAACCCTGCAACAGCGTGCGAACTCCAGAAACCTGTGTAGGAAGTGCGTTCACAATCTTGCAGTCCTTGCAAAGAAAGGGCCCTGGCCTGATGTGCTGTAATGCTGTAATTACCTGGCTCCCCCCCCATTGTAGTTCCTTGCCAAGTTTTCTTGATATATGCAAACAGGTACTCAACAAAAGAAATACAATTACAGCCCTAGGCAGATTCGTAATCCCTTCCCCCGCCCTAATATTATAGTCCACCCCCCCCCCCCCCCCCCCGGTAGTATGAAGACCCCCCCCCCCCAAAAAACAAAAAACCTGAAAGGGTTTTTAGTTTTAAGGGGGGTTCTCACCCGGCTGGGCTACAAGCGACCCGGTTGCAAAAAGGGGGGGGGGGGGTTCTTCGAACAAACAGCCCGTCCTTATTGTAGCTTGCTGGGAGACCCTAAGCCCAGGGACACAGGAACTTGAGTCTTGAGGTTTGGGCTTTCAGAATCAGGGTTCAGGTTTTTTGCTTCAGGCTTCCGACCCCCCGTACGGGATCGGGTTTTGGGGTCAGGGGGTTTCTAGTATCAGGGGTGTTCGAATATTAGGGGGAAGGGATTACTCTCCTGCCTGACAGACGATGGTATTCCGGGTCTAGAGCCATGGCTTTGGGCAAGCCTACCCCAAAAAACCCAAAACCCCTTAATTCAGCAATATATACCTTAATTCATGTCATAGACTATAGACTTAAGGTCTCTTCCGTATGTGGGGGGGGGTATATTGGGCTCTTGGGAGCCTATCATGAAGGAAGATGACCACGATCACGCCATTGCGGCCAAACTCGCAGCGCGCTATGCCGCGGTGCGGGGCCCCGCCAGTCTGTCGGGCGGAACGCAAAGAAGTCAGCATTCATTCAGAACAGAGCCTCTATACCCCTAATCAAGGAATATACCACAGTATAGCGGCCCTTAAGATGTTTTCAGGTACATTCCTTAAAACTAAGGGGCATACAGGGCTCTCTGTGGACACCTTATCATGTAATCATGTGCATGCACTTGTTTGCAGTCTACGAGGGTATACAGGGATGAATTTAGGTCTCCGTCACATTCCGTCTTCATGGTCATCATCAGTCTTCAATGCCTGGTATCCCTAAGGATCCATGTACCTATATTATATTTATACATACATACTTGGGCCTGAAAGGGGTTCCTATACAGTAGATTTAGGGCATGGATCCTTAGGGTATAGGATCTTGGATTTTGCTCTTCCGCGGTCATGGACTCTTCACATTCTTGGGGTCAGGCGCCCTAAGCCACGTAAACCCTACACCCTACCGGGGACCCTCTTGCCCCACAGTTTTATGGGTTATATATATATATATATATATATTTCTATACCTACCAATTCAGGGTAGCTACTACTAAAATACTAAACTGTAGGTAAAATTCAGTCCCAGGTATAGACCCTTGTGGAGGTGAGCCTCTGTGTGGCTTTGATTCTCAGGCCGCTACGCTGGCTTACCGGAGCCATCGGCAACAAGACATGGAGGCAGCGTTTAGGGTTTAGGCGGTTAGGGGTTAGAGGTTAGGGGTTAGAGTTTGGGTTTTAGAGTTAAGGGTGTAGGGTCAAGGGTTAAGGGAAAAGGGTTTAATTCATACATGCGTATACAAACAAGCAAGTATATGTAGATATATATATATATAGAGATAGATAAATATAAATATAAATATGAATATAAATATAAATAGAAAGATAAATATAAATATAAATATAAATATAAATATATATATATATATATGTATTATGTGCGTGTAACCCCCTCCCCATGAACACACCCCTATAGTAAAACCCTCAACCCTGCCCTACACTCCCCAGAGAGCCCAATCCCCCTTAACTAAGGAATTATACCTTAAACCATAAAGTATTCCTTAATATGACTTAAGGAATATTCCTTATTTAAGGGGTATTGGGCTCTTTGGGTCTTTCATTCATTAAAAAACAATTCAAGCCCACAGTTGGGGCACAAGAATGGGTTGCCACTCCGGGTCTCTAATCCCAAGGTCAGAGGAGCCTACCTGAAGGCTCTACTTGCCCTTGATTTCCCTTTGTTTAGGGTTTAGGGTTTAGGGTTTAGGATTTAGGGTTTAGGGCTACTAGGACCTAGAGCAAGCCCTGAACCCCCTTTCTTTGGTGTTTAGGTTCCCTTCTAAGCACCTTGAAACCAAAAAGGGCACCCTGATTGCTCCCAGATTCCTCTTGGGTCTAGCTAGCCCTAAGCTTCGTATGTCTCCGAGAAAGTGGTAGGCCAGTCGTACCCTTTGCCCTTTTCTTGGTTCTAAGTTCCCTTGTAAAGAAACCACACAAAAAGAAGGGTGCTTTGGTTTAACACCCTACACCCCTAAACCCCTAAGTTGCTGGGTTTTAGGGTTTTAGGGTTTTAGGGTTTAGGGTTTAGGGTTTAGGGTTTAGGGCTACTAAGAAAAAACGGCTCCGTGTGAGGACATGGTCGGCTCCACCTCGGCCATCCGGCGTGCCTTCGAAGGCCCGCAGAATCAAGACCCAGTTCTGTGGTCTAGGGTTTAGGGTTTAGGGTTTAGGGGTTTCGGGTTTAGGGTTTAGGGTTTAGGGTTTCGGGTTTAGGGTTTAGGGTTTCGGGTTTAGGGGCGGTTTGGGGTTTTGGGCTTCAACAAGGAGGGTTTACAACAAACCGCTTCCCTGACCAAGGCCCTCCCACCACAGGGATGCTGGCGGGTTGGATGCCCAGGTAGATCCCCTTAGAAACCCTATAAACCCTAAACCCTATAAACCCTAAACCCTATAAACCCTAAACCCTATAAACCCTGAACCCTATAAACCCTAAACCCTTAATGCAACAAATCAAGCGCAAGCTCGTCACTCGATGCAGGGAGGGTTCAGGCTGCCAGAGAGAGTTGGCAGGCTTTGTTTGGGGGGGGGTTTAGGTTCTGGAGAGTATTTTGTCGGGCTTTGGTGTTCTAGGGTTCATCTATGGTATAGTGCTTGGGCCAAAGAGCTTGAGTTTGAGGGCTTTCTAGTTTGGACTTCATATGGCAGTCTAGGCAAGAGTCGTTTTTGGGCTTTCTTAGGAAGTTAGAGCTGAGGGCCACAGACTGTCCAGGGGCTCATCAGCCTAAGTACGGGGGGTTTAGGGTGTAGGGTTTAGGGTTTAGGGCCTGAAACCTTCTCTGAAGGTTGGCTGGTGTCCTTGCCTGCCTTGTGCGAGCGTCAGCGCCGAAACCCTGCACCCAAAATCCTGCCTGCGCGTGCGCGAGTTGTGAGAGTCGAAAGCCCAAAAAACGAAAGCTGACCGACTCACCAGGCACGCGCCTCTTCAAGCAGGCTCATGGTGAAGTGCAAGGCGCCCACCCCGAGCTCTGCCTTATCAGAACCCCCAACTTCAACTGAGGGTAATTGAGGGTACAAGGTTTTAACACCTGCCTTTTTTTTGGTATGTCAGCAAAGAAGCCCGTGCAGCAAGTTTGGGCTTACTTCCAAATCTCGGTGGCTGAACTTCCCAAGGCTCTACTTGGAGGTTCATGGTACTTACTAACCAACTATAACTGTACTTATAACTGTACTGACAACCATATTAGGGCACTTAAGGGGCTTATAAGGTGGGTTAGAAGTAGAGTTACAATTGGTTAATAAGGACCATGAACCTCCAAGCAACCTCTTTTTCTTCCTGAAGGGGCCCTGAACCATGCCGCGACCTCTAAAAAACAGTCCCTTTCTCGGCACACCTGAGTTTCTGATGATTATGCAGGCCTAGACCACAAACACGACCCCAAACCGTGAGATGCCAGGAGAGACCGGAGGGCCAGAAGCGACGACACTTTGGGGTTTGGGGTTTAGGGTTTAGGGTTTAGGGTTTAGGGTTTAGGGCTCGTGAGCCCAGACGTCCAACAGCGATGGCAGTTTCGCATCTCGCGAGCCCGGACGTCCAAGTTCGAGGACGGCGAACGCGGCTACGCCCGAGCCGAGGCGAGAGCGCGACTTTCGTCCAAAGTGCGAGCTATAGGAGAACAACACCATGGTCGCCCGCGCGGGCGCTAGCCACGCGCACACCGAGGTGACAGCGACCCACGTTGGAACCCGTAGTGTTGACGCACAGTTTGGACAGCAATCGAGCCCTGAACCCTGAACCGTGAGGCCTAGATGGCCACAGAAACCCTTTTGAGGGGCTTTGTGTGTGTAGCCCCAAGGGTCCACGTACCTCATTATTATATACTTGGGCCCTAAAGTCCCTGTATAGGGGGTACTTTAAGGCCCAAGTATGCAATAATTAGGTACATGGACCCAGGGTAGGGTCTCTGGTTACTGAGGTGCATAGCTCCAGGTTATGCAGGGTTGGGCGTCAAGATGGAATTACACGCCGTGACTCGATCCTTTGCATGCCAGAGAGCCTCAACGCATTCTCTTTAGCTTGTTGTGGGATTCTGGTTGAGTCCGTCCGTGTTGGTTGGGCTCGGCTGCATTTTGCCACAGCTCAATGGAGCGGGGGCGGGTGGGAGGGGCAGGCGCGTGATACTTAGCATCATGTAAGGTATATACCCAAAAGCCCAATAACCCTTTAACTAAGGAATGTATTCCTTAAATCATTTCATGATTTAACGTCCAGTGGGTATTGGGCTT